CAAAACATTTTATTACATTAATGAACTTGTCAATCTTGAATAATCCACGTTTTAGTTGGTATCTGCCAATAATCATCTTGACAAGTTTTGCATCATCTTTCATAAGTATACGTGAAAGTTAAAGAAAAAAAAACCTGAAAATTAATATACTATATATAGAATGTTTCGTTTCTATTTTTGTTCTTCAAGTACATCATTTTCTAAACCAATCGATTTGACCATTCGATTTATATTAGGGGTTGGCTCGACAGCTTTGTACTACTAGAAATGAATTATCGTTTTTCGACAGATGATAACGTAGTCTTAAGTGCATTACCTTTGTCAGTCTAATGTAAAGCGCATCATTATAAAATTTTATTTCAATTGAATAGAAACAGACACAATTTTAGCTCTAATCAATTTGAAATTCTAATTGATAAATATTGAAAAATGAACTTCATAAGATGTTTTTGTTCGAGAATAATCAATTACAGAGTACTAAAAGTCTAATATGATGAAAAGAGACAATTTTAAAATATTAGAGTATCGATATTAAATTGAATGCTATAACTAAGGATCTTTTTCAGAACAAAAAAAATATAAGTTCCAAGCTATATGATGTTAATTTATAACTATCCTGCGATAATTAAATAAAATAAAATAAAATAAAATAATATCGTTTCGCTAATAATAAATTCACTTGTTTTTTTCTATGATTGAGAACAAACTGTATTATCGACTTTAATAAGTTAGATATTAGTATTACAACCGACTGATCCTTGAAAATTTCAATAAGATTATATCTGGATGTTGTTACATAGATCGAAAGTAATTAGTGAATGAGAAGAATTATTAAAGATCTTAAAATATAGACGAGAAAATCAGAGTACTTAGAACACGAATAGAGACATCAAACCAAAAAGAAAAAATTGAATTCAGAATGATTTATCCGTTGACAAACTATAAATCATTATTCATTTTTTCTATTTTTCTATTTTTGGTTCCACATCACGAACATGTTGATTTCAATCATTATGTGGCAGATAGGAGAATCATATTCATTGACATTGACATCATCTTTCCCACCATCGCCTCAACAAATATTCACTAGTCTTTAATATCACAAAATTTTCTAAACTGATTCTTGTTAGCGTCTATTGCTTGAAGAAATTTGTGTTTTATGGTGGTGCATCCTGCTCGACTGATATTTACAATAAGTTTATTGAGCGATGTCTAAATGTTATCAATAGGTCCGTCCGTTCAATGAAATACCCTTAAAATAAAAACTTATAAAACATTCTGTTGTGAATAGGTCAATTTTGTAGAGCATACACAAAAAATCAGTTGATAGAAAAGTTCTCAGATATGTTCTCTCTTGTTTTATTATCTCTTTTCTAATAGATTATGTTAAAAAGATTGATTTGGGCTGAATCACTCAAAACCGATCATGTGACTAAGAATAATCATAAATATTTTTAGTACAAGGGAAAACCAAATATGAACGGAGTTTCGAAAATTGAAATTTTGTTTGTGGCCGATAGACTTTCAATTTATATACTTATATCAAAAATTAACAAACGAGACTTTTACTTTAATTACTAAGAAAGTCGTCGATGATTCGTACCTATTGAAAATTTAGTTAAGCATAGAATATTTTCTGATATTTTTTCTACCTGATCTTCAATTTATTTTTAAATGTAGTCGCCTGTTATTTGAGATTGTTTTGAAAATTAATCTCACTTATTCTAGAGATAATTGTTGTTAGGGCTTTTTCTTGTCATTAAACATAAAGAGTACAGTATGAACTACGATTTTTATTCAATAGAATAAAGATATATTAGCATCAGTAATTATGAAACAGCTAATAAAGATCGATGGCAGAGAATTCGGCCACTTAAAACTTGACAATCAACCATAAAATTCTTGCTAACAAAAGTCAATTACAATATTTACGAAGCTTTTATTGCTACAACTGATCCATATTATCCTGGCGATTTAGTTTTTGAAGAATCACCGAAATCTGTCTACTACATTATTCAAAATCTCAAAGAAGATGTTCTTGTAAACACAACCGGAGAAAAAACAAATTGGTTGCCTATAGAACTTGCTATTCAAGAACATCTAATTGTCAAGCGTGTTGTTGTCCTTGATCATCAATGTTTTTGTTGTTCAGCTCCTATTTAACTCAATATTGAAGAAGTGTTTCAAGCTTTTACTGCTATAAACGATGCCAATAAGAATACATCTACACATTGACGCATTGCTCCTGCTATGATCAAAATTCTTCCGATGAATAAAACTCTGTCAATAACTGGGAAGAATAACGTTATTCGAAAATTGATCAATATTGAATATGGTTCCATAATAGACCAAATGTATGAGAAATTTCTTAATGAACCACAAAATAACTACAATTTTCAGTTGTTCTTGAAAAGCTATTTTCGGACAAGAAACAATCTATGTAATTATTTGTCTGTAAACAAAAGTAGCCAGAATTATCGATAAATCGGTTGAGATCTTTGCTGATTATTCGAAATTCCTGTATATAATCACTGATATTGAACTAAAAAATATTGATTGTGTCGAATTTGACTCATTTGAGCATAATATAATCCAGAAATTTTCGTCGATTGATATCCTAGCTGATTAACAATTGTGTATTGCAAAGAAAGAACAAGTTCAAACATCAATCGATATTCTACATCACAAATAAAGAGAAGACATCATTGATAAATACATTGATTTGATGAAAGTGCATAATAATAAAATAATCATAGTATCGAAAAAATATTCCAGTGACTAAGATAATAACATAAAGAATGAAGAGATTTTCTTAATCATAGGTGAAAACGGATCGCTTACCAGTCAAATATTGTTACAATTAATAGGCAAGTCACAAGCTAGTCGAATTTATTGTTTTGTGCATGGTGATAATGTTTATCGATTGCCTTTAACGTGCCATGGAAACACAAGCACAAAATTCAACAGTGTTACTTGACAAGAAGCGTATTGTTATCCTTTAAATGGATCTTAATAATGACAGGATAATTCAAACACAAGTGATCCAAGATCAATTATAGAGTGAATTCACTGATATTATTCACTCAATCTGGAAGATAGACTTCAATAGAACTATCAACGATTTTGATCGAGACTGTTTATAAGATCTTTATCGATTGCTCAAATTTGCATCTAACTAGATAAAAAAATAATCAGTCCATTTCTATTTTATTTCAAGCGTCAGTTCTGCCGGCTCTAATTTATCCAAGAAAATAAAAGAAGAATTATTGTCGTGTCAAGTAGAAATAGCTCTTGCATAAGTTTATGGTTAATCAAAGTATTCTGGTGAACATATGTCTTGAACAAAAAAATGGATACTATGAAATAAGTCACTATCGTATCTTGCAAAAGTTAACTTTCTTTTGGTTTAATATATATTTATTCAGAAAACATTTAATATGATGCATAAATCTTCAATTAATAATTTTTATCTATAATCGCGATCCTTTAATTTATTTTTAATATATTTCTGTTTATATCTATCGATTTAGACAGATTTCTGGTGAGAGTGAGACAGGTGTATGAAATGCTCCCGAAATGATTCTATTAATGAAATATACAGGTCGTGAAGAACTGAATGTATTATCCAATGAGTGTCAACGATTCGACTGAATTCTTGAAATAATCTCGACTTCAATTTAAAATTATTTTCAATAAGAAATGGTTTGACATGCTGCTCGATAATCCGAAAAGTGTAGCCTATATTCTGGAAAGGTTCGTTGAAAAAATCTTTACTCAAGGCAAAAAATGAAGTTTGTCAAGTTTATGATGGAGAAAATCAGTGGTCGCACGATTGTACTTGAATACTATTCATCTGTTGATTGTAAACTCATTCAACACTACTTAATCTATTGGTGAAAAATAGAATTTCTTAAGAACGAATATATTATACATAACGTCAAAACAAAAATTAAACAATTCTTTTCAGACATCTATAACGCAACTTTATTTAAACATTCAAACAAATTCTAATATACTAATTAACTTTTGAAATTGTTATTTATTTTTTTTTTGTTTTGATTTAATATCAAAATTTGGTTCGTCTATAAAAATTAATATAAACTGATAATTCTCGAAATGTGACACTATCGGAGTAATATTTAGCTTTTGTTTTTATCAATTGTTTTATAGAATGCAATTAGGAAAAATAGCGAACAAAAAAGATATTCGCAATATTTCATAAAAATAAAGTTATTTTATACAGTTTCGAGCAATTGAAAAATAAACAACGATATGTTTAATCTTTCATAGCCAATAAAAGAATCAATCTCCTTTACTTATTTAAATACGTTTATATTCTATTTAAATTTATCTTCAGACATATATTAATTTAATGGAAAAAAGTAATATTTTGATTTCAAAAATAAAGATTGTCAGAAAAATGACATCCAATTATTGTTATTTACTCTTTTTGTAAACGAGTATTTTTCTCAGATATAAATCAATATTCATTGTTTTCCACTATATTTTAAAATGTAACATGATTATTAAATAAGATATAATAAATATTGAGAGAAATATTTATTCTATGAATAAAATTATTATTTTTATATTTTTAGAAGAATAGAAATAAAATAGTTACATTTATTATATTAATTAAAGAAATTACTCAAAGCATCATTTTTTAATTAAAGTTTCGTCAATTTTATTATATTTTTTCTAGTGACAAGATAGAATAATATCAATTCAATATTAAGAAAAAAAATTTGAGAAAAATGACTTTGTTTATCAAACATTAACTTTGATCGATAAGTGGTTTTTTTATATCAAGCAAAATAATTTCAGGTCACTAACATAAAATAGAAGAAAGAAAAAACACATTTTTTTTTCTCCTCAATTTGAATAATTTGGTTGAAGAAAGAAAAAAAGAAACTAATTCTTGTCAATAATTGAATGTTGATAGGTGGTCTCTGAAAAATGATGTTTATCAAAATTTACTTTTATTTATAGACAATTAAAATATGGGTTGTATTTTTGGATGTGATCAACCTTATGATAATAATGATGATGATATATATATACGAGATAATCATCCTAATCATCATAATCATCCTCATAATTATCATAATAATCCTCGATATAATAATCATCGATATAATCGTCGTGTTGTACCTCATTATATTTATTGTCTTAATTGTCGTTGTCAACAATATAATAAACGTGATCAAAGTTCGAATAAATGTATTTGTGGACATACTTTAAATGAACATAAAATAATATAAAAAACTTATTATATTTCACTTGAATTTAAATATATTTATTTTCAATTAATTTATTTGAATAATCTTCAATCATTTTATTAATTAAATTTTTAATTTGTTTTATATTTATTTCGATATTTTCAATAATTGGAGAATATTTTATTGTTGATTGTTGCTTTTCTTTAACTCTTGTTTATGATAATACTAATGTATTTTAAAGGGTGATTCAAAATTCTTCTCTTTTCTTAGAAAAATTACTCGTTATCCCTTATTACAAATCTGATAACGCTCAAAATTGGACGTCTAATTTCTTGTAACTAGACGAATATTACTCTCAATTTTCAGACCTTTTGTCCTTATTATAGGGGCGATATATAGAGTCGTATTGTAAAGCAGATTTTTTTCTCATGTTTGAAAAAAGTTTTTAAAAATTTATTCATAAGAAACATCTAAAATAATTCCCTTTCACTATTAATACATGTATTAACACATTCGACGCGATGGATCTCACCACTCTCTAATAAAATCGAATCGCACCGAATATGCTAAAGACGAATAGACGAGATTTCTCATGAACGTATTTAACTGGAAGAACAATCGGATAAAATGGCCGATATCTGGCCCATTGAAAACATCTGAAGTTATATTAAACAAAAATTAGAAGGGGAAAAAATTGAAAGTTAACAATCTTGAAAAAGAAATTGTAAAAATTTGTAGAACCATTAGTCCACAAATATGTTCAAAATTGATAAACATTGGTTATCCAATCAACAAAAGATCTATTATGACATGAAAATGTAAAATAATCTATTGTCTGTTATTATATAAATAGTGAAAATGAATTATTTTAGATGTTTCTTATGAATAAATTTTTAAAAACTTTTTTGGAACATGGGGAAAAAATCTGCTCTACAATATGAGTCTATATATCTCCCCCTATAATAACGAGTAGAGGTCTGAAAATTTCGAGTAATATTCGTCTAGTTCCAAGGAATTAGACGTCCAATTTTGAGCATTATTGGATTTGTAATAAGGAAGAACGAGTAATTTTTGTAAGAAAGAAGAAGATTTTTGAATCACCCTTTATCTGATGATTTCAACGACGATATGTTAAGGGTAGTATTTCGGGTTATTATTCTTCTAGATATATTGTCAAATCAAATGTAAAGTACTACAAAATAAGTCAGTGTAACATTCTGTATCGAAATTTGCATGATTTTTAACAAATAAAGAATGAATAAATTAAATTATTAATAGGCGTTTTTGTTTAATCAATGTCTTTTAATTGTCACTTCATCATCAATCAATAGTAGATTAAATAAAATTTCTGTTTTGTTAGTAATATTATCGACGAATAGAAACCCACACCGTTTGGATCATTTAGATCTTTATATACTGATCGATAGTGTTATTAAAACGTTACATAATTATATATTTTTCAAACTTAAAAAAATATCTGTCACTTAAGAAATTCGTAGAAGCCTATGTTCAACATAAAACTCATAATAGGTTTGAAATGAGCACCAAAAACTGAGTTAACTTATGAATATCTCAATTTTTTCGCAGATTTGTTTTTCTGTCGAAAAATGTCTTGATGATCCCCATCATAGTCTAGTCAAAAAAATGTTTTAACTGCAACTTTTTTCTAATAAATCAGTCTCAGTCACTAATTTTTCCAGATTTGAGATGAGAATAGTTGACTTGACAAACTGATATAATTTTCGTTGAAATTCCAGTTAAAGATACCTGGAGACCTTTCATCATCAGTCATAGAATTACTGATTGATTTTTTACGATGAGATGTTTTTTATTTTGCTTGACTTATAAAATCTGATATGGTATTGTAGTTTAAGATAAAACTTTGATTATTTGAACGATTTATAGTGATAAATAATCTTTGAAAAGCGCAGCATTAGATATATTTTGATTTATGAGTGAAATAAAAACAAATGTTTTATGTATCATATGATATAATAATATGCATAATATTTAAGAATTAAATATATAATAAATTAGTTCTGTTCTTATTTAATGTTTTGTCAAAATGATTGAAAACTTATTCTAAATTATTTCTTATGAAAGTATTTTT